TCAGCAGAAAAACTACGTACAGTTTTCACTCTGTTTGTGTATCAGTCTCCCAGCGGTTTAGCATAGTGTTTTTGTTTTTAGTAGCTGAACTGAGACATTTACCCTGATAGAAAAATCACTAATCATAATTTGTTCAGGAACCACTTAGAAACTTTACATTTTATAAATATTACTTAGGAAAATCATATGAATTCTTATCACTTAGCCAGTTTGAATTCTAATAAAAAGTCAGTAGATATGTTGTAAATACTAAAGGTAAATCCTAAAACCCATTTTAATTGAAGTTTTGTGATATAAACATAATAATTTAGTGTTCTTCTTAATCTATTCCTAACTCTCTATAAAATAAAACTGAAATATGTGATATAACTAGTTGTGAAGGGGGAAAGAGCAAAGGGCATGGGAACCGTGAAGCAGCGGCCGGCTGGGTCTGGTGCTCCTTCGCTGCGCACTCAGCCACCCACAGGCCCGCAGGCTGCAACGGGAGACCAGCTGTGTTTCCCGCAGACTCCCAGCTTTCCTGCAGCGGACATCCCATCCTAAGGGTCCTCTGAGTCGCTGCTCTCCTACCCAGTGACACAGACGGGCACTACAGACACCAGCATTGTGGGCCTGCACCCTCCTATGAACCCGAGAGCTGGAAACCCGGGGCCCCTCGGAGGGACTCTGCACGCAGCCCTGCGTGTGCAGGGCCCAGGGCCAGGACTGTCTCCCCACAGGTCTGAGTTACTGCATAGCGGGGTCTGGTCAGCATGGAGCTACCATGCTCTCTCTTCCCTTCATTTTCCTCCAGGGTTTTAAATAGCTCTACCAAGAACAAGTATTACAGAGTGTTGTGTTTTTTTAATGAAAAACAATGTTTGGGTGCAGGGTTATCATTACTGTAGATACTGTATACAGCCTTTAAAATCACTTGTTCAATGACCAAAGCTTTGAGAAAGTCATTGAAAGCATTTCCTTTTAATGTCGGGTGGGGTTCATTGCTGTCCGAAGTTGTTCTCGCTCTCTTCAAGTGTGATGTTGCTTAGTTGTACACAGACATCCCTTTTTGTCACCAAAATTCCTACAGAAACTTCTGATTAGTATTTACACTGCTTGCTCTGAATAATGTACAGGTGATTTTGAAGACCAATACAGCTGCTTTAAGTCAAGGGAACCGCAGCCAGCTTAGGTCATCACAGTCCTGCCTGAGCACCTGCAGGAGAGGGCTCAGTGGGCCCCACGGGGTGCGCCTGTGGAGCTAGTGCTTCTGCTTTGTGTTGAAAGACTTCAGGGAAGATAGGCCTTTGCACTTTACAGAGAAGCAAGAAGACGTGAAACTTAGGTCTCAAAAGGCAAAGAGTGGGGCGCGTTTTTCCCAGAAGGCGGAACATGAGAGAAATCGACAGTGTGAGTTTCCACACTGGGTTTATGTCCAGTTTCCTATGAAAGAAATGTCTTTGTAAAACTGAAAATACTTCAAGTTCCCTTCTCCTTCCTTTGGTGATAAAGGGATGTCAATGAACCCTGTTTTTTGAAATTGTGTCTATAAAGGGAAATGTTAAATTCTAAGGCTCCTTAGGACAACGATGAACAAATTTGATTTTCAGGAAAAATAAATGTTGATGGGCTGCACTCTTTTCACTGTAACTGAAGACAGCTTTGGATCCCTGAAGAGCTGGCTCAGACTCAGGCACCCTGGGGAGGGCAGGTGGAGGGGTGGTTAGCCATGAAGGCGTCACGCAGGCCTCAGCAGGCAGGGGACAGGAAGGCTGGCCTGCACCACCCGAAACCAGGCTGCAGGCCCTGCTGTAAACTGCGAGGCCCAGAGGCCTGGGCTTCAGGACCAGTGTTGCCAGCAACGAGGGAGAAGAGAAGCCTTCCTCAGAGAAGCGCACTGCCTGCCACAACATCTGGTGCCCGCGCACGTCCTCGCTGTGCCCTCCACCCGCCTGGGGGAGTCTACCAGACTTGCTGATGGCCCCCTGGCAGCCGGGAGGCCAGCCGGAGCCTCTGCGGTGGGGAGGGTGTGGGAGTGCTTTCTGCCAATTCTGGTCCTGGCCTTCCTTGTCAGCATTTCCTTCAGGCGAGACTAAGCAGCACACTGTGCTTTTAAAAATCTGCAGCCCTCCTCCCATGTGTGGCCTGTGCCGGCCCCAGTGCCCGTCAGTGAGCGAGGGACGGGGCCTGGATGCTGCGGTGTGATAACTTCCTGCTTCTCCTAGCTTCCCACTTGCTGGATCATGAGGGGCCTCTGACCTTAGCTGCTGACAAACCCCAAGTTCCCACATGGCTGCTGCCAGTCACTCAAGGACTGCCACCACTTCCTGCACAAATTCTAGTTTATTCCTGCTGCCTTGGTGCCCAAGTTCAGTTCCTAGTGGCAGAGTGCTCTCTGCCGCCTCAGTCCCACCGCTGCCAGGAGGCTGCAGGGCACCGGCCGGCGTCATGCAGGCCGGGCTGAAGGGCCCGCTGTGCTCCTGTGGCTAACGTGAGGGCCGCACTTTCCCACTGGCAGCTGGTCACCGCGTGCCCCTCGTGCTGGCAGACTGCAGGGAGGTGCACACGGCCAGGAGAGACTGCCTGAGGAGCTGGCCCAGGGTCCCTTCCTTCCTGGGAGAGTGGACACTCCCACTGTGTGGTTCATGCTGGGATTAGGAGCCTAGAGCAGCGGATGCCCTATTCCCCCCACAGCCCCTGCAGCAGCCTGCCTCCACGCTGCTCCTCTTTGCTCAGTGGCTACGTGGCTGAACTTTTCCTGGGGGCTGGTGCCTGCAGGGAGCACATGGAGGTCACTGCACAGCGGAGCCGTTTTGTTCTGCCCTGCGTGCTCTCAGGTGGAGAGCAGGACTGAGCAGCAGGAGGCTCGGACCTGGCTCAGCCTGACCGCAGTTGTCACTATGGACGGACACTCAGCGAGGCCAAGACAGCTCACGCTCTCCGGGGAGGCTGCAGCGGAACCAGCCGTGTGAAGGAGCCCTTCTCAGCCAGCTGAGCATCTCGGCCTGTTTTCTGGTAATCCCAGCTCGGACCATGCCCTGGAGAGCAAGTGACTGAGCAGGAAGGTCCCTTACAGAGGTTGCAGGACCAGAGGTGTTCCCTGGCCTCTGCCTTTGACTCCCAAATGCTGCACTCAACACAGTTGCTTCCCAGGATTCCTGAGACCTAACCTTAAGGGACGAGGACCTCTTCCCAAGCACCAGACGGCAGACCCTCCAGCGCAGCTGGAGGCAGATGGAGCGGGACTCCATGCGTGGCCTGCCCAGAACCTCAGGGGCGAGTTCTCCGAAGGAAGGCCATGAAGCCACAGTGCCCAGACAGCCTGCAGAGCCAGGCCGAAGTCCCGTCACTGCCCTAGAGGATGTGCATGGACACGAGTCCCCACAGTCTGTGCGCTCCAGTAATCCTGCGTGTGACACGGAAAGTCACGGTGCTTTATAAAAACAGAGTCTGCATGCCACGGAGTGTCGGTAAGTAGGATAGGAAACAGCTGACATTCTCTTCCTTTAAAAACATGGAACAGTAGCAAGGGAGCGACAGGTTTGGGTTAAGACTCTTAAAACTGGAGAGCAGGGCAGACTCATGCCAGCAGAGCTCCAAGTCTCTCCTGCGAGAAGACAGCACACGAGGGCTCCTGCCAGGCCTTCTCAGGACTCTTCCCAGATGACCTTGTTCACGCACTTAATCTAGAAACCGATTAAGATGATCCTTCAATTTACCCCCAAGCCTCTGCGCCCAGAGACCATCAGCCCAGCTCGAGCATTGAGAGAGTGAAAGCAGGCTCTTGGCATCCAATCCCGGACCTGAGGTGGCACCTCGCTCCACCCAGCGACCCCCCTTGCTCCTAAGGCAGCGGTAGTCCCACCTGGCTTTATCTCCTCATCGCGGGCTAATGGTTTTCATGGGTCTGTAGCAGAAACTCCGTCTACGATCTTTTCAAGAAGTGCTGTACAGCAGTGGGCACCAAGCGGTGGTCCGAGGACCACTGGGGCCCGGGAGGCACGAAAGGTTGGCGCCTGCTGCTGTCGAGTGTTTTGGGGTGGTTAAAGGCCTTACTCATTGCAAAAGCATAACTATTAGTAAAGGGTTATATGCTAAAAGGGAACTCTTCAGACCTCCTTAATTAAATTAGAGCTAAGAACACAAAATGGGCAATTTTCAGCTGATATGACAACCTCCACTCTTTCTTTCTGACTTAACATAGGGGTCTTCTCTCAGCCTTCTCCAGAGCAATGTGAGGTTTTCAGAGGGAATTCATCATTATTTGCAACTGCAGTCTGAAACCTCAGGCTACAGGTCCACAAGCCAACTAATATGAGAAGACAGGGTGACTGGTGACTAAGGAAAGAGTGAGCGTAGGAAGGAATGAGAGGGTGGGGTTTTGTGCCAGATTTAATAAAAAACAAACAAAACCAGGAGAAGCTGTTCCGACATTTTCAAGGTTGTAAAAAGTTTCCCACAAACACCTGGGCTGTGGTTCTAAGCTGCATCCATGGGACAGACCCAAATGCTGACCTCCTCCCAAGCTCAAAGGCGGGCCCAGGCCACCCCGCACCTCACTGCCCCGCTCTCCTGCTGTGCTCCAGGCCAAACCACACCCGTGCTGTCCCCGCAGGCATTCTGTGTGCAGCAGAGCGGGCCAGCACAGTGCGCTCAGCTCCCGAGGCAGAGCTAGCTTATCTGTCGGCTGCTGGGCCTTAATACTGACATGAGGGAGGGAGGCGGGCCACAGCGGGAAGGATTCCAACACAGAGCCAGCTGAAGCAGACCCCCCTCTCGCCCCTCGGCTTACTGTAGATCACTGTGGAAACAAGCTTGAATAAAGACAACAGAAGTTCCATCAACACAGCAGGGAATGGCGTGAACAACCCATAAACCTGTCTCTCATGCATCCATACCCACAGTTAACAATGACAATAACAACAATAATAATAATAAAAAATAAAGGTACAGACGGGAAGTAGCATTTGGGTTGTGCAGCCACAAGCTGGGAAGGGTGTGTGTTCAAAGTGAACGGACAGTCAGTCTTTCTTCAAGTCCCTGGATTCAAAGAGCTTCAGGCGTTCCTGCACCGTCAGGCCTTCCTTCAGACTCTGGTGGAGAGCAGGAGAAGAGAGTTAAACGCAGGCCCGTGCTGGTGCAGCAGCAGCACAGGCAGGGCAGGGGGAGGGCTCCTCAGAGATTAGTGGGCATGCTAAGGAGAGCCCGTCTCCTGTGAGATGGTGTTATCTGGATGAGAAAGGGAAAAAATCAGAAAAACAAGTCCATGAGCAGAGAAGATGGATTCTGAGTGGAGGGCTCTTTAGAGAAGCAGCAATGAGACCGGGTCAGCCAGGAAAAGATTGTGCCAAGAACTAGAAACCACCCGTCTCCACCCTCTCCCGGCTGTGCACCTGCCCCTGTCTACCACGCCTCCTGCAGGACGGCCAGAGCCCCTGAGCACCGGGGAGCAGCTCCTCGCCCTCTCTGATGGGAACCCAGCTGCATCCTCTCCTGGGCCTTGGGAATATGGCCCCATAGCTACGGAGATTTTCCAATGTACAAGCGGTCCTCGTCTGTGGGACCCTGGGAGAGTGCCCATCTGTGTGGCCCGATGTGAGTGACGCCACTCTTGGAGGCTCTCCCGAAAGCTTTAATTTCTGGGTGAAAGAAAAGATGCAATTCCAGCCCTGGCAGGGCTGGGCTGGGCTCCTTAGTTGCCCTCTGATCTTCACACAACCTCATCAGACCCAGAGCTGCCCGTTGTCCCTCCCTGGCCGGAGGAGACCAGGTGGCCGGAGGCAGGCCCTAGGGGAATGCACTAGCTTCCGCCAGAGCGGGGGGCACGGGTCCTGGGGTCCAGCCTGAGGCTTCAGAGGGGTGGTGAGAGAATCTGGGGGCCCAGCTTCCTCCAGAGTCTGAGGGGGTTAGTGGGGGTGTGTGGGCCCTGCTGCCCCTCAGTTTTCCCAGAACAGTTCTCTTGCTGTTTACCCTGTGGAGGTGTGTGTGTGTAAATAAAGGTGCGACTGCTAACCTTTCTGAACTCACTGTCCTGATGGACCTCTGCGTAAGCAGTTGGCTAGGGCCCCTGAGCAGGGCAGATGGTGAGGACCGACCCACATCTCACCCCACCGGGCTTCCCGCTCTCGAGTCTCTTCTCCCAAGTTAGGAGCCACTGTGCACAGCGCCGGTCTCAGGGTGGCACCGTGCCAGCCACATAGCTCTGCCCCCGCTAGGACTCTCCCATGAGGCAGCAGTGTTAGGAATAGGAAGGCAGGGAGCAGTGGCATGACGGGCAGCCTGAGGTACAACAGGCCCAAGGCCATGCACTGCACATTCCAGCTGTTAAAGGCACATCCCAACCCCAGAGGAAGGCCCTCGGGGTGTAACTGGCTCCCTTGGGGCTCATTCCTCCCACAGGGCCCATCCTTTGCGGGATACTCCCATGACACTGCACTGACCACCGGACGGTCTCCACGAGGCCCCCAGGAACGCGCTTTCTGGCTGCAATCCCAGAAAAGCTAGGTTGTTCTTAAGCAACAAGTTTGCTTTGACGTAACGGTGCTGAGACTGTCTACACTTCTGTATGAGGGACAAGGTAGAAACAGCATAAATGAAAGTCATGAATCCACACACGTCAGATCCTGAATCAAAAGCACCAGCGACAGCCGAAACCAGTTTGGCTCAGTGGATAGAGCGTCAGTCTGCGGACTGAAAGGTCCCAGGTTCGATTCCGGTCAGGGGCATGTACATTGGTTGCGGGCACATCCCCGGTGGGGGGTGTTCAGGAGGCAGCTGGTCGATGTTTCTGTCTACCCCTCTTCCTTCCTCTCTGTAAAAAAATCAACCTCTCCCTTCCTCTCTGTAAAAAATCAATAAAATATATTTAAAAATAAATAAATAAAAGCCCCAGCGACAGATGGGAGTTTCTAGATCACATCGTTCCCGTGGAGGGAGGGCGTGTGCAGATGCAGTGCGGGAGCCGTGGAGGAGCAGCACGCCCTCGTGCCCGGGACCACAGGAGTCCCCGAGGACCCCCGCAGCCCCTTTCCTCTGGGCAGCAGGGCTGCCTGCACACAGGGCCTGCTTCCTGCTCTGAATGCACGGCCGAGCGCCCTGGGGGCTCAGATGGGCTCTGGGAGCCTAACAGCTAGCTCCTGGCCAGCCTGACAGGCTCCCGTGTGCCCTGCTCTAGATGCCTGTGGACAGATGCCTTGGCAGTGACTTTCTGGCCTTCTGTCCAAAGCCCGGGGCTCCCCACCCCACCCACCTGATAGCGGGCACAGGAAGCACGCTTCCCCGGAAGGCTGGCCGCTTGCTGACAGGTGTGGGGGGACCTAGCAGCTGCAGTTAAGCCTCAAATGAGTAGAATCTTTAGTAAGAAAACCATAAACCAAAGAACAAGTTTTCCTTTTGCTAAAAAACATTTTTCATGTTTAAATAAAAAAGCCCAAACTAAGTTTTCAATTAAGCCTAACCTGTATTTGGTGACATGACTATAGGAGAATAAATAAAAGCAAAAGGAGTGTAAAATACATGGTTTTCCAAAGCTTTTCCTAGGAGCAGCTCTTCCCCAGCCTGGGCCTGAGGCCACACCATTGTCTCCATGAGCCCGGCCGTGCACCACGTCTTCCTGCTGCCCGTGCCCTCCTCACTAGGGATTAAGAGGTCACACCAGCCAAGCCGCTGGCACACTGGACTAGGGCGAGGGGCATGTGCTCCTGTGTAGACCGGGGTGCCCAGACCGGGTCCCACTGTCCTGGTCATTTTCAAGCAGACCGCTGTCTCCCGGCTCCCCACCTCCTTTCCGTACAGCGGTCTTCACGGAACCCGGGAAAAGCTTTCGCTGTGCTGGTAGAGCACCCCAGTAACACGTGTTCCTCCTGCTCTACTGAGCTGGGTCCCGCTCCACCTGCGATCAGCTCCCCCGACACCCCACCTACGCCATCTCAGCCTGGCCGTACGCTGAGGCGGCTCTGCAGTGCTGGGAGACTGCGTGGCAGTGGCTTCTGGGCAAGAGGGTTCTCCAGAGAGTGTGGAGCGCAGAGTATTCAACATGCATGCTGACCGGGCGCGAGCCCCCCACGGGGTTGGCTCTGGGGGCCGCTCGCCACACTGGGAGGGGAGCTCCCCAGTGCCGGGGTCAACTTTCTTATGAGGCTGTAGTGCCAGTTACCTCCCAGAACAGGCCAGAGACGCCCCTGAGCTGCGCCTGTGCTCGCTGCAGCAGAGGAATGGCAAAGGCACAGGGAACAGGAGCTTGGTGTGGAGGTGTGAGTCGTGCATGCAGGCAGCGCCCGGAGGGCGGCGGGTGGGTGGATGCTGAGAGGTGGTTTACCTACATGACAAGGGACCTGGAAGCGGGCTCGTTTCAGTTATCCCATGAGACCTGCTCAATTACGGACTGTCAGAGGAAAGAGCAAACAATAAGACACACTCACAAACCCAAACGCCATATGCTCAACTCCCCCCCCTGCCCACCCTGCCCTGGAGAGTCACCCAGGGCAGGGAGTGGACGCTGGGGACGGGCGGGCACTGTGAGGCTGGAGAGGCGCACAGGGCAGGGAGTGGACGCTGGGGACGGGCGGGCACTGTGAGGCTGGAGAGGTGCACAGGGCAGGGAATGGACGCTGGGGACGGGTGGGCACTGTGAGGCTGGGGGAGGGCACGGGGGCTTCCTCTCTCAAAGGCAGACGGCGTTGGCACTGAAGCAGGGGGTGCCAGATTGCAGACAGTGGGGCTGCGCCAGGAGCGGCGGGGGAATCTGGCCTGGAAGGTCTGAGGTGGGATTTACTCCCAGCCCAGGCCCTTTGACGGTCACTGTGGGAGTTGGCTCCACTGCCCCACAAAGGGCACCTGAAGCCCGAAGCCACAGCCCGGCCCAGCAAGGGCCACAGGGGCTAGGCATGCTCTGGGACCCGGGACGCCCTGCTGCTGCCTGTAGTGGGCTTGGACTCCTGCTCCTCTTCCCAGCGTCTTGAGCCCCACGCCCTAGGCTGGGTCCCAGACTCACCTTGGACCTGATGTTTCTGAGTTGCCGACTGACAGAGGATCTGTCCTTTTTCAAGAAGTCAGGGTTGCTTTTAGATTTCATTATATCTGAAGGAACAAATAAACCCATTACTTTGTTTTCTAGAGCCCTCTGGAACCAGACTAGAGCTTTAAACATTTCCCAGGCTGAGCGCTAGCCGGTCTAGCCCAGTGGATAGAGTGTTGACCTGCAAACTGAAGGGTTCTGGGTTCGATTCTGGTCAAGGACATGTACCTTGGTTGCAGGCTCCCCCTGACCCCAGGCCCATGCAGGAGGCAACTAGTTGATGTGTTTCTCTCACATCAGTGCTTCTCTTTGTTTTTCCTTCTTTCTTCCACTCTCTCTAAAATGGAAAAACAGCCGGGACTGGTTTGGCTCAGTGGATAGAGCGTCGGCCTGCAGACTGAAAGGTCCTGGGTTTGATTCTGGTCAAGGGCATGTACCTTGGTTACGAGCACATCCTAGTGGGGGGTGTGCAGGAGGCAGCTGGTCGATGTTTCTCTCTCATCGACGTTTCTAACTCTCTGTCCCTCTCAATTCCTCTCTGTGTAAAATCAATAAAATATATTTTTAAAAAATGGAAAAACATCAAGTGAGGATTAAAGAAAAATTTCCCATCATGGGCCTGACCGCAGGCGAAGCCATGCTGTGTGGGATGGGCCGGCTCACCGCACTCTGGAGCGTCCCTGACCCACAGAGCAGACCGACAGTCCCCATCAGTCACTCATCCGCTCTCCTCTGAGACCCCAGGATCAACGCCTTCTCATAAGCCACCCCTCCAAGCAAGTGCCCCTGACAGTCTGGTGGATTGCTCTTTACGTTTCCCGAAAATGACGACGTAAGCCATGGCCAGTGTTACTTAGTGGTTAGAGCGTCACAGGCTTGATTCCTGGTCGGTGGCATGTACCTGGGTTGCAGGTTCAATCCTGGCCCTCGTTGCGTTACATGCAGGAGACTACAATCAATGTGAGTGTGAGCGTAAGTCTGTTTGGGCCCTTTAAGAAGCATACTCGGGACTGAACAGCTTCCATCTCATTCAGCCACCTTCCCCACTGGCTTCCAAGGCTGGAAGGTCTGAGGACTTCTCTTTCCAGCACTGGGACCCTGGGTTGGGGAGCCTGGAGGGGCTGGGTCCGCTCATTCCTCAGGGGCACCTGCAAAACTGAGATGTCCCTTCCGATACTGGACTGCCACAAGTGGGTGGGGGTCCTGTTCCTTCTGCACCTCCACCCTCCTACCAGTCTCAACCTGGCGTCCTTCTATCCTTATTTGCAGGCTTCTGTTCAGGTAGATCGCAGGTGGTTCTGGGTAATGGCTGTTCTGTAGTTTGTGATTTGGATGTGGTTGTGGGGAGGGAAGTCTGCATTCACCTACGCTCCCATCTTGGCAGAAGCTCCTTTACCTGATCTCTTTTAAGAACTGCGTTGCCTTCCTTCCTTCCAATAAATCTTTATTGTTCAGATTATTACAAATGTTCCTCTTTTTTTCCCCCCTCCATTGCTCTTCCCACCTTTTCCCCCCCAATATATATATATATATATATATATATATATATATATATATATATATATATATATATATATATATATATATTTTATTGATTTCAGAGAGGAAGGGAGAGGGGAGAGAAAGAGAAAAACATCAACGATGAGAGAATCATGGATCGGCTGCCTCCTGCATGCCCCTCAATGGGATTAAGCCCACAACCCAGGCATGCACCCTTGGCTGGAATCAAATCTGGGACCCTTCAGTCTGCAGGCTGACGCTCTATCCACTGAGCCAAGCGGGCCAGGGCATGCACTGCATTTCATTGTGTTGTGATGTCATGGTTTGATGTCCTGTTTGATGGCGAGAGAGGACTGTCATGGTGGAATCAGTGTTTGCTCCTGTGCAGTGCTAACTGCCCTTGCTGGCACATGCCCGTGCACTGGTTTTCTTCAGAAGTTAAACTTGTAGGCTACAGAATGCACACACTCTCCCCAGTTCTAAATCGTCTGCTCTGTCTCCTGGCACCTGGGCTCCCCTGAGCAGCAGCCACTGTGACCATTTTGTCACCTACTCAAAGTCAGCCTATAGTTCAATTTTAAATTTTGCCACATATTGCTTCACTGCCTTCCAGAAAGTGCCACCTTCCCCTCCCAGAAGCAGTGCAAGCGACTTCTCTCCACCCCTCCGTCAATGCTGCCACTACCGGAGTGCTGGGCTATGAGAGTTAAATCCCTTGCTGTCAGCGAGCCAGGACACCTTTTCAGAGGGAGCGCTCTCCCCGGCTCCTCCCCTGCCTTCTGCGGGTTTGATGGTAAAACTCCAGGATCAAGCGATTAGGGAGAGCCTCTCCTACCAAACGGCCGCGCTCTTTAGGGAGATGGAAAACACACCGCGTCATTACAACGCAGTCAACACCGTGTGGCTGCCCTCAGAGTGGCTAGCACAATGCCTGCCACATGCACCTCCCCACGGACCAGCAACCCTCACGCTGCTCTGGGCAACGAAATAGAAGTCTGAGACCAGAAAAAGGAAAACCACTTCTCTGCTTTGACTGAAGTCCCAGGAACTCTGAACAAAGCCCCCAAGCTGCGCGTCACACCCAAGGCGGAGCACTCACCGTATCCTGCCACAGGCGTGCTCTCGGGGGACTTGTCGCCCAGTGCTTCCGTGGCTGTCTTCAGCTGCTCTTTCAACCTGCTGATGTCGCAGTCAGCCTTTGCCCGCACAATGCTGAGCTCCGTGTAGATGTCCTTGTACTTGTCACTGGCGTACTTTTTATCCTTGAGGAGAAAAGGACAGAGCAAACGGTGGTGACAACTAGGTCAAGAGGTCTGTCTCGCTGGGGCTGGAACACTTCTGGGGACTGACTGAGGGATGCCATTGACAGAGGAGGAGGCAGCTGACTCTACCTGGTTTTCCAAAGGCAGAAACTAGACACAGACTAAAACAGGCAGGGCCGAGACTCTCTCTGAACACAGCACAGGATCCCCGGGGCTGCTGTAGGTGCAGGCACAACCTAACCCCCAAGGACCACTCTATAACTTCAGCCTGGGACTCCCCCCTCCCCCCCATCTTAGCTTTCCTAAGGCGTCCTGGCATCGCTTCTGATTCCAAGAATGCCCTGGCAGCTGACCCACTCTCACTGCCCAGGAAGACATCTCTCTTGGTCTCACCGTCCCACAAAGCACTAAGAAGGCAGGGAGAACAAGGACACAGCAAGACCCGGTGGGCTCCTCATTTTTACGGTGCTTGTGTGAAGGCTGGTTTTTAAGAGAACTCGAATATCAAACCACATTCCTCATGAAAAGGAAATCTATTCTAGAACAGCCTAAGATACTTGCTGAGCACAGGGACCTCTGTGAGACCCTCATCCCTACACCTCCCCACCCCCGCCTCCAGCCATTCTGCAGATCCAGCCCGTACCCGCAGTGCTGTCTGCAGCTCATCCTTGAGGGAGCTGATCTCCTGTTTTAGGTACTGTATTTCTGACTCCTTGACTCGCAGTAAGACCTAGAATGAGAGGGCAATTAGGGACTGACATTCAGGAGCAAGAGGACTTCCATAGTCTTGAAAGCAAAGACTGAAAGTTGAGCAGAGAACTCCCCTCCACACACTGAAGAGTAAATTTTCTTCTCATTCTCACCCATTTGCAATTGAAAATGCCAGCAAATACGATTTAAACACTGATAACGTACAGAAATGAAAAGAAGAAAAGAACTGCTGCAACTCCCTGAACCCGTGCCCCCTCCTCAGCCGGGGCCACTGCGGTCTCCTGGGACCAAGCCTGGAGGCTCCGGGAAGGGCCCGCTGGGACTTGTTGAACGCACTGCACTCTGCCTCTTCCACATCATTGGGTGGCAGATATTTTCATGATGAAATTTTAATTGAATGGGAAGAAATCTAAGTGCTTTCATAAAAGGATGTCTCATACATGAAACCAATCATTCCAGCTTAAGATGAACCTGGCTGACCTGAATCTCAAGCAGCCAGTGCTCACATAGTTATTAAAAGTCTCATTTCAGGTGGTCGCTGCTTGAGATGTGGCAGAAACAGAGGGAGGAGGGAGGCCTCCCCCCCCTCCCCCCCCCGTCTCTCCAGGGGTCTCCTCTTCTCCTCTGGGTCCCATGTTGCCTGGAAGCTCAGTTTTCTCCTGCTGTCCTGGTGATTGGGATCGTTCCACGTGCTATCCCTCCTGCTGCCTCCAGGACTCACCCCTGTAATGACCTGTAAGCTACGGGCCACTCCTTGGTCCCCCCTCTTGGGGCTTCTGCGTACAGAGCAGTACCTCTAGCTCATAGGCATCCTTGCCCTGCGTGAGAGGTGAGCCAGCAGCCTCCCCACCAGCGTCCCCTGTCAGCAGGGTCCGTAGCCGGGCGATCTCCGCAGCCAGGCGGTTGTTCAGCTCCTGGGGGACAGCGACAACAAAACAAAGGCGCTCAGCAGAGGTCCTGGGGGCTGCAATCACACTGCACAACCAGAGAGGCTCTTCCCTCACAACCCTAGGCAGCAGGAGCAGTGCCTGCGCGCCGACCGCATGTCAGAGTTAACACGTGCAGCTCCCACCCTGGTAACAGCTGTGAGTGTGGGCTCCGTGAGTGTCTCAAAGCGGTGCGGGCAGGGCTTCACGCCCCTGCACACCTTTTTATCACTGTCGGCAGTGCACTCTGCTTCCTGGCTGGCCCATGTGAGTTTCTACAAGATCAGGCCCTCCTGCTCGTTTTCTGACTGAGTGAAACCAACCCAGCTGGAGTGCCCTCTATGGGTGGCCCTGGCCTGTGGAGGCCTTGAGCCTGAACCAGGCCAACGCATGGCTGCTCCGTGCCTGGGGAGGTGAGTGGTGGGTCAGGAGGACAGAACCCCAATTTGGTCCTCAAAGAGCTTTTGTCACACTTAACCTACCTCAAGCCTGTCTACTAGCCAGGATTTTAAATGCACCCCAATTTTCTGAGAAGCAGGCACATTTTGAGAATACTCTGACAAAAATAAATGTGAGCAGTGTATGGTCTCGACTGGGAGACATTTAAACACAAGTCTGAGCCTTGGGGACGGGAGACCCGGACAAGGTGTGATAACCTGCCAGGCCCTGCCCAGCGACTACAAAGCAGAAATTGAAAGACGCTCAAGAGCAGAACCTGAGACACAAGAGGCGATCAGCAGCCCCTCACCAGTATCCTGTGAGCAGAGTTCCTGCAGCAGATGGCACAGCCCCGCTCCGGCAGGGAGCATCCCCCCACCCGCTGGAGAGGCCTGGCTCCCAGCTTGAACCTGGGCTCCCATGGCTGTGGGCTCACCTGGTTATGGGCATTGAGCTCCTGGTTCTCGCGCTGGCACTGCCGCAGGGCCTGCCGCTCGGCCTCCAACGCCTGGGCCAGGTGGGCGTTCTCCAGGCACTTCTGTGAGTACTGCTCCGACAGCACCTCCAGCTCCCGCTGCACCGACTGCAGCTCCTCCCTGCGGAGAGGCACCTCACTCCTCTGCCCGCCCAGGCCCAGCCCCACAGGGCCCGCCCCACTGGGACACTTGAGGGACGACGAGACAACAGAAAGCTGCTGAGAACAGGCCCTGCGCATTTTTGTTGTCTCAGAAAGTCTGTCCCCAGCCAAGGAGAGAAAAGTTCCCCAGTAGTTCAGGTCCACAGAAATGTATTCTGTGTCCTTCTCTGGTCCTCCCTCAAATAACCCAACAGCCGCAGACAGCACTTCTCTCGTGAAGGCAGGAGAAAGCTCCTCACTCACGTCACTTCTGAGAAGGAGGCCTGTCTGTTTTCAGCACTAACTGTGCCTCAGAGCCCAGGACCAGGTCTACTGACCCGTAAAAGCCAGAGCCTCGCAGTGTGGTTCCCGTCCCCGGGGACTCCTCAGAAGGGGCCCCATCTCCCACTGGGCACAAGGGGAGCCTCAGGGCCAGCCGCCCAGCCCAACAGACCTGTCCCCTCTCTGGCCCAGAGGATATGACCACAGTCCACGGGACACTACCCCTCAGCCCGCCCTGACTGCCCTGGGCGCGGACTGCCCTGAGCGGGAGCCTGGAAGAGCAGGGACCCTGGTTCTTTTACATCACAAACATCCTGGCCAAGGCCAGCTCTGCAGGGCTTTCGCAGCAACCGATTCAAGGCTCCAGGTGGCAGCAGCTCCGCTGCCACACGCATGCCCTCTGGCCTCATGCTCAGGCAAAGGGCCCGGTACACACGCTTCTGGGAAGTGCAGGGAGTGTGCCCCTCCCTGTGCACCGCATGAAGCGTGAGGCCCCAGACCAGACTCCTACTCAGGCTGCAGCAGCTGATGGAGAGAATACATTCTGGGGACGGCCTGAGGTCAGTCTTGAAAAGTGGCTAATAGTGATAAAATTTCCTCTGCTAACCTATTCTTTAGATTTTGGTAATTAGAGTCTATGTGCTTGTTTTTTTAGTGACAGGACACGCACAGGGGCCACAAGAGTTAGTGGCTTGCTGACCCTCACTGGCACTTAGCCCAGCGCCTCTGGAGAACAGGCTCTGAGCTGCCCTTAGTGCCAGAGCCTCCACCAATGCCACCTCAGGCCCTGTATCTGTGTGGCTCCCACGGACACACAGGAAAGGCAGTGCCCACCTGAGCAGTTCCCACCTGAAGGGCTATCCCTGCTCTCCCGAGGGTGGAAAGCCGACTTACAGATACTGCCGCCGCAGGGCCTCGATGTCCGAGTTGATGCTGCTGATCTGAGACCGCTGGCTCTTCTCCAATTCACGCTCCATCTCCTCCCGGTGGGCATTCTTCATGGCTTCGATGGCTGTAGGCAAGGACACAGGCATCAGCACTGAGCTGGTGGCCAGAGAGACAGATATGGCAGCACCCACAGTTAATGCTTCCCCATCGCAGGCAGGCTGGCCTCTCCCAAAACCCATTCTCAGGGTTGATGCAGTTCTTCTGATATAAATTGAGCACCAAACTGATTAAATAAATGTTAATTCAAGCATCAGTTTACAAGCCAAGCAGGCTTCCAGGCTAGTGCATTTTTTCCCTGGCACTGGAACAACAGACCGCCGCAAAGCACACTGTGAGCCCAGGGCACTGGCTGCTCAGAAAGAGCGCACAGGTCTGTGACAGAGCTCTGTGCCAGGTAGAAGCTCCAAACTCTTTGTACCTGATGTCACAGGCAACTCCGGGCAGAGGCCAAAAGCCCCTAATGGGACTGAGGAAGCCGGGACAGCCGCTCACATGTAACTGGACGTGGTGGCCAGAGAGCTGGAGGGCCGGCTCTGGCTTTAAGAGCTGAAGAGCTCTTCCACCTCCCTCTATGCAGAGAATTGTCAGAGTGGTATTTTCTTGGGGGAGCAAGATAGTGGCAGAGTAGACACAAGCTACTTCATATCCTCCCTGGTCCAAACTGGAATTCTAGTTAAATTACACATAAACCTGAGTAGCCAACGGAAGACGAGCTGAACATAAGTCTCATAACCCAGGAGTTACACGAGAAGCCACTTCAGGCTCGCAGGAAGGGCAGAGACACAAAAAGGGTGGTCCCGCTCGCATGTGTGCCATGAGAATGAAGGGCCATCTCAGCTGCACAGGTCCCTCTGAGGAGTGCCTCACGGGCACTGAGGGCAGCTCAGAGCCTTTTCCCAGAGGGGCTGAGTGCCAGTGAGGACCAGCAGCCCACGCCAGGCTCCCCTGTCCAGAGCACCCAAGCCAGGAAGAGGGGCCCACGTAAAGCCTGGCTATGGAAATCAGTTGGGACTCTGTCTGCCAGGGAGAGAAAAGAGTCCACTAGAAACCCAGGCATCCTCTCCAAGGGCCAGTACACGCAGCTTACAGACGCCATCTTTTCTGGGTGGACACTCCCCTCCATACAGCCTGGGGGAGTGCACGAACTCACTCCCTAGACTCCCTGTTGCCCTGCCTTGCAGAGCTCATGCCTGCAGAAGAGTTAGCTAGTTGTGGTCAGCCTGGCCTTGGTGCAGACTCTCCTGGTGGCATGATGCCCTGACATGGACCTGCACCAGAGTCCCTTCCTCCCAAAGGCCCCAGAACAAACACACCAGTGCTGAGCTTCAGACCACACAGAGGGAGATCTTGGCAAACAAAAGCTGTTGCTGGGGCAAATACTGCTCGTACACTGTGGTTGGGGTTGATCCTCATAACCAGCCCAAGGGTCAACCCCACCATGGATGGGCCAACAATAATCTAAGACTCAACTGCAACAGGAAGGCCCATATAACCCATTAAAGGAACATTTCTGGAGCACCTAGATCAGGTAACCAGGGAGACGATGCCACTGAGCCCCACAGGACACCCATATATGTAACGCCACCATACCAACTGCAAGGCAGAGCAGATTTACCTCACACACACAAACAATATAAACTAATGAACAGTGGTCGCTAACCTCCTGAACCTCATGGACCACCAGTGGTCCACGGACCACCAATTGGCAACTGCTGATCAGAAAACTGGACAAAGGGGAGACAAAGAAACATACCCCAATAAAATAACAGGAGGAATCTCCAGGAAAAACAACAACAACAACAACAACAAACCCTAAAAAGAAATGGAGATAAGCACTCTACTAGATAAAGAGTTCAAAACAATGGTTATAAAGATGGTCAAAGAACCTAGGCCCACAGTGGTCAGCAAACTCATTATAGTCAACAAAGCCAAATATCAACAGTACAACGATTGAAATTTCTTTTGAGAACCACATTTTTTAAATTTCTTCAACTGATAGGTCCCAGGTTGTTGTTTGTTTTTGTTTTTACTTCCTTGTTTTTTTTTTCTTGGCTGATACTTTTTTTTTTAAATTAAATTATTATCTATGTACATATCTTACCATTGCCCCCCAGCCCCCATACATACCCTATCTCCCCAGAGTTTTGTGTCCATTAATTGTACTTATATGCATGTATACAAGTCCTTCGGTTGATCTATTATCTCGCCCAGATCTCCCTACCCTCCCTGCTGTAATTTGACAGTCTGCTTGTTGCTTTACTGTCTCTATATCTATCTTTTGGTTCATCAGTTTATAATGTTCTTTATTATCCATAAATGAGTGAGGTCATGTGGTGTTTCTCTTTCATTGACTGGCTTATTTCACTCAGCATAATGTTCTCCAATTCCATCCAGGTTGCTGCAAATGATGAGAATTCCTTCTTTTTTATGGCAGCATAGTATTCTAGCTCTCTCTCTCTCTCTCCCTTCCTCTCTGTAAAAAAATCAATAAAATATATTTTAAACAAAACAAAACAAAGGGGATTCTGGACTGTCAGGCAGAAACTCAGAGGAGCCGCAGAAGGCAGAGGTCTGAGGCTCGCATACAAGGGCAGGGCTGACAGGAAGCCAAGACTGTCAGCTCAGCCCTGAGAGACTGTCCATCCAAGCTGAGCACAGAGGCTTTTGCAGTTTTGCAAAAGCCTCTTGTGCTCAGCTTGTCTGATCCTATAAGACTGTCTCCAATACAGAAGTATCCTAGAGTAGACACAGCTGATACTCACATCTAATTGGCCTGGACTGTCAATTCCTCCCAGGGATACCAACAACAATCAAGACTTAACTACAAAAGGCTGTACACACAGTCCACAAAGGGGTGCACGAAGAGTGTCTACTTCAGGTAACGGGAGGCTGACCCACCAGGCCATATAGGACACCAAACACACAAAGCCACCCTACCAACTCTGGGAAGCAGCAAAAATGCCGAGAAAAGGAAATAGATCTCAAACAAAAGGAATGGAGAACAAAAGACTGGATATAGAGTTCAAAACCACGGTTATAAGGTTTTTCAAGAATTTCCTAGAAAAGGCCAATAAATTTAACGATTCCATTGAGGATATGAAAAAGGATCAACTAGAAATTAAACAAACACTGATGAAAATAAAAAATATTATACAGAGACCCAACAGCAGACTAGAGGAACACAAGAATTCCTTCTTTTTATGGCAGCATAGTATTCCATTGTGTATATGTACCATGTTTTTTGATCCAATCATCTGCTGACAGGCACCTAGGCTGTTTCCAAATCCTAGATTGTATATTGTGCTGCTATGAACATTTCTGATTGGTGTTTCTAGTTTCTTGGGATATAATCCTAGGAGTGGGATTACTGGGTCAAATTAGGTCCCAGGTTTGATTAGGGTCAAGGGTATGTACATTGGTAGTGGGCACATACCCAGTAGGGGGTGTGCAGAAGGCAGCTGGTCGATATTTCTAGCTCTTTATCCCTCTCCCTTCCTCTCTATAAAAAGTCAATAATATATATTATGCCCTGACCCTGACCAGTTTGGCTCAGTAGATAGAGCATAAGCCTGCAGACTCAAGGGTCCTGGTCAAGGGCATGTACCTTGGTTGTGGGCACATCCCCAGTACAGAGTGTGCAGGAGGCAGCTGATAGATGTTTCTCTCTCCCTCTCCCTTCCTCGCTGTAAAAAAATCAATAAAATATAGTAAAAAACAAAAAAAGTTATAATAAAATAAAAATTTAAAAAAAAGATAGCAAACATTAAAAAAGGATGTAGAAATCATAAAATTGAAGCAGGCAGAAATGAATATAATATCTAAAATGAAGAATCTACTAGAAGGAATCAATAGCAGGTTAGATGAAGCAGAGGAATGAATCAGCAATTTGAAAGACAAGGTATCAGAAAACAAAAAAAATGAGGATAGTTTAAGGAACCTCTGAGACAACAACAAGCATAATAGCATTTTATCATGGGGGTACCAGAACGACAAGGAAGAGAGTAAGGCATTGAGAACCTATTTGAAGAAATAAAGATGGAAAACTTCCCTAACCTAGTGAAAGAAAATGTCACACAAGTTCAAGAAGCACAGAGAGTCCCAATCAAGATGAAGCCATACAATTAAAATGGAAAGGTTATGACAAAATAAGAGTCCTAAAAGCAGCAAGAGAAAGACAGTTAGTTACCTACAATGATATTTCCATAAGACTGTCACCTGATTTCTCAACAGAAACATTTCAGACTAGAAGGGATTAGCATGAAATATTCAAAGTGATGAAAATCAAGGACTTATAATCAAGGCTACTCTACCCAGGAAAGCTAACATTTAAGATTGAAGCAAGCCAAAGCCGGTTTGGCTCAGTGGTAGAGCGTCAGTCTGCAGACTGAAAGGTCCAGGTTCAATTCCGGTTAGGGGCATATACCTTGGTTGCAGGCACATCCCAGTAGGGGGTGTGCAGGAGGCAGCTGGTCGATGTTTCTCTCTCATCGATTTTTCTAGCTCTCTCTCTTCCTCCCTTCCTGTCTGTAAAAAATCAATAAAGTATATTATATATATAAAAAAAAAAAGATTGAAGCAAGATAAACAGCTTTTTAGCCCTAGCTGGTTTGGCTTGGTGGATAAGAGTGTTGGCCTACAGACTGGCTTTGATTCTGGTCCAGGGCACATGTCCGGGTTGTGGGCTCAATCCCTAGTGGGGGGCATGCAGGAGGCAGCCAATCAATGATTCTCTCCCATTATTGATGTTTTGATCTCTCTCTTCCTCTTTCTTCCTATGAAGTTACATATATATGTATACTAGCATCCTGTTGCAGGAATATTCCCTTCCTCCCTCCTCCGCCACCTCTCTGACCCCGCCACCTCTTCTACTCCCTCCCTCCACCACCACCTCTCCTGTCCTCCCCACCATCGCTGCCTGCCTCACCCCGCACTTGTTGCCAGTACTTTACCTCTAGCAGCTGCAGCCGCCTTGCTTTCCACTTCCCTCCCTCTTCCTTCTATGCTGTCTCCAGTCTTCACTCCTCACTCCCTCCGTGTATGCAAATCAATCGCCATTTTGTTGGG